GGTCATTTGATAATGGGATATTCCTAAAAATGAACATGTAAATAGTAATACTATTAAAAATCAAAATGGCAGTGAGACGGAAATGAATGGTAAATTTGGCAGGTGTGAAGGATAAAAAGGAAATAAAGCACACATTATAAGTATTATGTATGCATATATACATGTTTGTATATGTTAGAGAGATTATGTTTATGTGTGACAGTATGAAGGTGTATGTGCATGTGAGTGAATGATTGTTGTGGTTAGTCATTAATCTACCCCTGACACCCATACTAAACCCTAAAAGCTGCTGACTCATAATGAAATTCCATCCATCTTAATTTACTTTCATCTAAATGGCAATGTTTTACCATTACTTACTACTACCCAACCCCGCCAAAAATTATCATTATATGTATTGCTGCTCAGATATACTTTATGTGGTTTTCATTAATGAAACTATAGAAGCTCAAATTAAACTGGTTGAGCATAGTAGTTATTCTAATTGGATGGAATAGGCAGGAAACCCTAAGAGGAAAAATAGCTAAAGTAAGTAAAGGGAAATATTGGAAAGTGAAGTAAGGGGAGGGATTAAGAGTAACATGATACCCCTCCTTATATTTGTATATTTATTTGACAGAAGTGATAAAAAACGAGAAGGAAAAGGAAAGTGGGGGAAGAAAAGACCATGCAAAATTACTTGAGGTGAGAGCTGAAGCCCAAGGTAGGGGTGATGCCATACTTTGGCCTCAGTCTCCATCCCCTAAGACCCCCACGACAACATCAAGCAAATGACTGTATGTGTCTGTGTGTGGCGGGCGGGGGGGGGGGGGGGGGTTATAGTTATAAGGTTGGCTTATGGGGCTAGGAGGGGCCCATGTCATGTGTTTGGAAATGGCAATTTTTACCAACTATTACTATTACCCCATAATCATATTTATTTCTTTGTAGTTTTATTCCAGCCTGTGCATCAGCTCCCAGCAGTGTAAACAATAAAGACACCAGCCAATACAGTTCATATACATGCCCCTTTACAATAAATTTGGCTTAGTTTAAAAAATTTATTGGGCAGGTTCAGCATCTTGCTTCAAAATATACATCTATATGCTGTTATTAATGCATTCCTTATCCTTAAATAATGTTTTCTCTTAAATATTACAGTACGATCTTGGAAAGAAATTATAAGCTTTAAATATACTTTATATTTTTTAGTTTACTTTAAAAACAAAAAAAGTTGCTTCAAACATTTAAAAAGCCTAATTTTATTTCATCAACAATGTATTTGATAATGTCCAGTTCCTGTATAATTTTAAGCTAATGCAGAAATTCTTGAGTTGTCTTACTCCAAGATCAGACATAGTTGGTAAGATGTGTCCCTTTTTTTTTAATTTCTCTTCGGAGGCAGAATATGACAAATGGCTGAACAACTGATTTTTAAAAATAAACAGTTCTATTTCCATATGTCTGTAGGATTTTTTTCTTTTTCTTTTTTTTCTTTTTTCTTTTTTTCTTAATGATAAGAAAAATCTGATTGCATATATTCCTCTTGGACATTTATTTTAAAATAGTATCATGTATGCGTCATTATCAGTAAATCTATTATATACATATCATGGTGCATGTCAGTGTACAGTTGAACTAACATCTTATTTACAATCAAACAGACCTTGAAATCTTTTTATATACTGACAAGCATCACTAACTGATGCCAGAACTTTCCATATCATTACTATGGTGAAGAAGTCTCTACTTACACATAATCTTCATTAACAGTAACTTATATGCCGTTTCATTCTTAACTCATTTAAAACTATATCAATAAGTTTAATACTGAGGTGATTTTTTCTCTCAGAATCTAATGAACTTTTAACAATACCCATCACTGAATGTATGGCTTACCTTTAAATAACAAGTTTGTTATTGCTTATCTAACATGTCTTAAAGATTTCTTCCACAATACCTGACTTCTAACTGAAAGGTGCTCTGGGTTGGTAATATTGATTAAAAAATGAATGAATCTGCATTGACATAATGCACCTTTTAAAGACCATAATATTTACATTTGACCAAAATCTTTACATCCGAAATCAAAATACATTTAATTTGTATACCATATTTTGATTAGCATATTTGTAGGAACATGGTTATGGAATGTGTATTCAAATATTGGACTGCATCAAAATAAAGTATCTATATAATAATGTGTTTTCTTTTTTTTTCCTTTTTGAGCAACATTATTGTTGAATGTATAATATACAATCGTTCAAGCTTCCAACTTAGAACAGAATTTTCATTCTCATTTACACTTCCATAAAATTTGCAGCATACCTTCATATAATGCATTACTTGGTAAAGACTGAATATCAAGAAAACAAAACTATATATGTGAAGCGTAAACTTTTCAAAACATCTTTAGTATTTAATGAGAAGTATATGATGAATTGTAAATTATTGTGCATATAACGCATTCAGAAAAGACCAGGACAGTATCACACTAGATTACAATTTCCAACAAAAGAAAAATTGGTACATGAATGCACTGACCTAAAGATATAAAGGAAAATACATGTCATAATATACTGGACTTAATAATATGATCAACAGCAGCCTCTACACCGTATCCCTACTTCACACGAGATTTATTTTGCTAGATTGCAAAGGTTAATCTAAAATCTGACATTTGCACTTGTAAAGTCGGGTGCATTATGATAAGCAGTTTGTATACGTTGCATAGTTCATACCAGCCCTCCTCTTCATACTGCTACCTCAAACTGTTCATGTAATAAAGTACTTTTTAGGGTAAGTATTCCTCCCAGCAGTAAGGGCAATACATTTTTTTTTCCATGAATATGTTTCCATAAGCTGATGAAGATGGTAGCATTGCACAACAAAAATGGGTGAAAAGCTCTGAATGAAAAGGGTGGCATATACAATTGCAATGCTTTATTCTTCAATTTTGTCTTGTACTTTTTCTTAAGCAAGCAGTGGAAAAGAAACTAGTTAGCCTTAATTATTTTTGAATTAGCTATAAGTGACACAAGCTCATTTTAGATATATATATAATGCAAAAAACAATACTTCATCTCACTATTCTCCACAATCTGGAACAAATGGATTTTCTTCACTCTCCTTTTCCTCTCTTAATCCAGTTAAAAATGTTCCCAATTGTTACACATAACACACAAATAATCAATAATAATAATAGTAATAATAGTAATAGTAATAATAATAATAATAATAATAATAATAATAATAATAATAATAATAATAATAATAATAATAATAATAATAATAATAATAATAATAATAATAATAATAATAATAATAATAACAAATAATAATAACAACAATAACATCATTATTACTGTTAATAACTACAATAATCATCATCATAATAGAAAAGCAGCTGATATTGCAAATACACCTCAGACTGTAAACAGCAACAAAATATGATCTGCCCCTTTATTATGCTTTTCAAGATTTCCGCTGACTACAGAGGACAAAACAAAAAATACAAATCTCTACTAGTGTTGAATTGATATCAGTAGTATCACTATTGCATATCATGATCACAGGAGCAAACAGTATGCTGTGGCTATCTAAATCTAAGGTTATCATAGAGCATGTTATTGTGGTCTCAGAACAAAAAGGAAAAGAATCTTGAATGGAAACTGGCAGATTTGTAGGTCACATAGTTTTACTTTTCTCCTTCTCCCATGTACAAACGAGGCACTTCCAAGATTTGTTTAACAATCAAGGACATTGCGAATCTAAGGAAAGATTATATTCTTACGTGGACAAGGTCAATAACATGTAAAGATCAATAGCCTGTTGGGGCTCAAAGCTAAGTATATCCTGATGTCCTTGTAATGGTAAAAATGGAACTCAATATTATGCCACACCCAAAAACTTCCATAAATGTGGTAATGATTCCTCCCCTGTTTTCTATTTTGGAAAATCCATGAAATTTACACAGCCACTATTGATAGAGCCACAAAAGGGCTCTGTATAAGAAAGTACTTAATTTGTGTAAAACCATTCATTTTTTATTACTAAATTATGCAGTTGGAGAATAAATAAAAGGGGACGGACTGAATTATCTTTTATTTACACTGTATTCCACAGTTCTGATGCTGATACTTTTCAATTAAGTATCAATACCATCTAACTTTTGATTCTAAATTCATGAGTATCTTATTCTGCTGATTATGTTTGTTTCAATTTCTTTATTTTCTTTTCAAGCTAGAAGATTCGGCAGAAAAGGAGACTTCCTTTCAACACTTAACCAGAAATGAGATGATGACTTGAATGCAGGCAAAATATTTTGTACACATTGGATTTCAAATTTTTCCATCTTAATGCTGTCATCAGTCCTTTCTGATTATTTCCATGAATCTAAAGCATAATGAATCAACAACATATTTGGATGGCAAACCTTTGAAGGATACTATGCAAAAAGGCACTGCTTTCAAAGGATCTTTTTTTAATGAGGGGTGTGTATAGAGAAAGAGAATTATATCACATATGGCTGATTTTAATCTTGGACATCAAGAAAAAATTTTTTAGTAAGCCCCAATGCAAGTTCTGTAAACTTATTTTGCTTTGATATCCCTGTCTGTTTTTAAAAATTGAACTGCACTTGACTAGCTGCTTACAAATCCTAGTCTTACTGATCATTACCTATATATGCACTATTATTACTGAACTGTTTAGAAACAAAAGAATCATGCATGGCAGGTAAAATCAGAAAAAATCTGAATGAATACTAAACTAATCTATGTTTGTCTTTTTATGATACAGCACAGGTTTTAAGAAACAATATTTGTTTAACAAAGATATAAAAACCTGAAACAGACAAAAGAAAACAAAATCTTTCTTGTAGACAGAAGAAAAAAATATGTTCATATACTGTTTCTATTAAAATGAAACAATATTTACAAATAATTCAAATGTACAAAGAGGTATAATAAAATAAAATATAATTAAAAACAGACATACATCAAGCGGCTATGGCCTCAATATACATTCTCCAAGTAGGTTTGGTTCAGACTAGGTCATCACTGATACATGGATATGCTCCTCAGGCTCCCTCCACAAACGATCACCATATTTTTGTTTTCTTTCTTTAGATATAAGTTCATCATTCCTTTTGGCTCTAGAAATAACCATAAATGATATATATATTGGTACTCCAGTAATGAGTTGTGACAACTGAATATGCTAAATAAGGGAGCTATATTCTCCCACTATCAAAATGACTATGTAACCTTTCCTACTTTAGATTCCATGTCCATCTGAATAAGCACACCCTGTCACAGCACACTCCTGACACGTTGTATCTTTCCCTGCACATAACTCACTTGCCTGGAGTTGGGAGATAGCTCTATACTAAAAAAAAATATATATATATCAATCAGTCTGAGAACTGGATATGGCTTAAGATTCCCTTCTGCAGCTCAAGATAAGGAGCTTTCATTCTGGCAGTACCTAAGGCCAAAAGTATATTCTCTGAAAGGCAATGCTCTATCCCTGCAGGTAGTACAACACTGCAAGCACAGCATTTTACCTTATGCACACACATACGCACATACACACATATTATTGGTCAACAATATGCATTATGTCACCCTGGTATAACATAAGACACACTACAGTTTCAAAGATATGAAGCCTAAGTTAATACATCCACTTCATATCTACTAAATTATGAATGTTTCTCTTAGATTTACACATCTGTGTTTCTCTGGGATAGAAGTCGAGGAGGAGGAGGTTTATCATCTACTGCTTCTACATAGTTTTCAGGAACAAGACCAGTGCGGCCATTGAGGGTTCCTTCTAGCCAGCCTGGTTCTCGGGATGGCCGAACTGCAAGAAAAAAAGAGGGAACCTTGAGCAAAATAAATTCCTTCTGCAAATCTTAATCAATTTGGCAAAACAATAAAAAGAAAGTCAGTCAGTCTCCTAGTCACTCTTTCTCTCTTACTTCTTCTCTTTCTCTTAACATCAGTCTACTGAAAATGAACTGCATCTCCATTATGCATATCTGTGTCTGTCATTCTCTAATTCCTGTAAACTAATTGTTGTATTTTGGGATTTCGTAAATGAATGCTTTACTTCACATTGAGGCTGGTTCCTTTAAAGCTCAAATGCCACTCACAACCTCATATAACCACTCTCCTATCAAGTTGCCCATATGTTTACCTTACAATCTATTCATTTAACATGTAAATTTTGGAAAATTTGACAAAAAAAAAAAAAGTAAATTTTAGCTGAATACATATATGCTATAACAGAGCATTTTGGCAATTACTTTACTATGTAAATATGTATTTGCAATACTTACCATTGCATAAGATTTGATTGGGCTCAAAGGAAAGCTCAGACTCATTTTCCCCTACACATGCATACAGCGTTCTTACACGTCTGGAAGAGTAATGGCTATTAGTTTTATCCTATATGCTTTTTCATCCTCACTCATGCAATTCTCATTTGTACAGTCTGCACTTTTCACATTGTAGAAGTCAATCAAAAGAAAGTACTTAGTATTTTACAAGGATTAATTTCAGAAATATATTTCACATTGGAAAATAATTTGTACTACAAATTTCATATATTTCACTGACATACTAAACTCAATATCACTTTTTCAACCACCTTTCTCCATAATGTCTTACCTTGGAGGAGAACTGGCTGTTCCATTCGAAGTAGCAGAAGGCGGTGGAGAGGAGCTGGTCGGGGCCAGAAGACTTGATGTTGACTGCGACCCACTAATCGAATTCCTGAGTACAGTGAGAAGATATATTATTCATGTCTAAGAGTATGATCAAAGAAAAATAATCCACTACTGGATTAATGATACAAAATACAAAATATTCCATAAAATAAGTGACAAGCATGAAATTTTACCTATAATACAGTACTGTACATACTTTCATTCATCCTTGTCTGTGAGGACATGTGGATAGTGTTCAGCTTAATTACTACTTCAGATCACAAAAAATGAATAGCACAAAAAAAACAACAAGACAATTTCTTAACACCTATATACAATTATCATATAGAATGCACTTTCTAGAATATTGCCAATAAAATAATTGAAAAGTTATTTGGATTCACAGTCTGAGGCATGCGAACAGCAAGTCATTCACATACAGTAGCAAAGGCAGTTTTAATAAGGCTTTAAAGGATCAACTGATTTTTTTCAATATTTCAGTGATCAAGTTGTGTAAAATATTTATGTTGAGTAAACCTGAAGCTTTCATGCAAAAGCCCCAGCAGGGAAGAACAGGTGAAAATCTAGCTTATGGCTTCTGGTACTAGCATTTGGATGCACTTCTACTGTAACAAGAAAACAAACTACTCGTTTTTTGTACTTGAATATTCTCACTTCTGAGTCACCTATTTTCTATTGTGGCTTCATCTAACAATCTCTAAAAGAAAATCTCAGAGTCCAGTTTTGCAAGACTAGCATCTCTAACTGATCCTTAGTCCAGGTATACAAACATAAAATCAACAAGGTTGGAAATCACTATACAATTTTCCTAAAGACAGGTTTATGATTCAATACTCTAAGGCTTGGAGTAAAGAATATAACATCAGTGTAAAATTCAACTAAACAGACAGGAGCTATCTATTGCACTGTTATACCTAATAGTATATATCTTTCAAAGATCTGAGTCTCTCCTTTTGGACCACAGATTACAGGCCAACTGAATTAAAACAGTTTTGCCAATTAGATCCAAAGCAAAAACCCAGACTTCATCCATATAATTCTAAGACACCTAGGAAATCACAAGTTGCAACTCCAATATCACTAGTTGCACATACAAGTCAAAAAGAGACGACTGGTTTAGTTGAAGGTTGAGGCTATGCACCACCACATGCTAGAGTGAGTGACTACACTTACATAGATGAGTAGAGGTACTCCAGAGATTGTCTCTTGCACAGACTAGTGGGCATAATGGGGGAATGAGAGCATACCATTATTAAGGGGGGGAAAATCTGTAAAATCTACTAGTATTTTCTGGTTAAATGTAATAATAAAAATACATGTTTATGTACATTTCCAAATTTCTGACTTTAGCATGTAAAATACATCCTCGATTATTTGTTCACACTAGTTTACATGAGAACAATATCAGATAATTATTTCAAGTAATGATACTCTACCTCCATTGTTTATGAAATTTTCATAGAAATGCCATGCATAATTTGATAAATAGGCCATCTGTTAACAAAAGAAAGCAGCTGTGTGCTATGTTATCTTCTATGCACGAGTTGATCCAAGTTAGGTTTTGTTTTCACAATGATTTTGCATTCAATCAATATAATTTAGAGTCAAGAGTATATTACTACTGTGTTCATGTTAAATTAATACACGTCTGTCCATCCATTATCTTCCAAATACTTTTGATGACTGTCTAAATTATTAGTTGTCAATAATACAGTTCTGAAAGACAAAAAAAATACCACCACCTTCTCTCAAAACTAAGTCAAATATTCGAGGATGTACAGCAATATGTACAGGCTATTGTAAATTGGCAGTGGTAATTATATCAAGTCTTCAAAGACAAGGATACTGGGGAATATTAAAGATATATTCAAACCTAACAAGGACCAATGGTAAACATATTGTACCATTTGCAGAAAAACTAGGTCATTAGATTGATAATTCAATCTTAAAAAAAGAAAAATCCTTTCAAAAGCATACTTCCAAAATTCAAATATCATATGTTCACTATCTCTTCTTAAAAACATGAATATAAATTAACTCTGTGTACTTACGTTTCCATGTGTTGCCGGTACGTAGGCGGGTATGCCGTCCCCAGTCGTGCACCTGAAAGTGGTACATACCAAGCTATTTTCATTTATTTGGTACCTTCTACTCTACATAGATAATACTGGCAAACAGCTCACATTGCAAAGTACAGTTTTTAAGGAGACAAACACCCATGCAACTTTTGGTGCTTTTAACAAAAAATACCAACAACATTCAGACAAAAAGATATAGAACAAATAAACAAGTAAAAAAATGTGTTGCAAAAAGGCTAAAATTACACAAGCTAATTACCATCCCTTTTATCTTAATGTTATTTTCTATTCTCAATAGAAAATTAAATTAATACTACACTATATTCAAAGGAATGGTCCTCTTGAAAACTAAAATAAATTATGTCTAGAAAAAATTACTCAGAAACCAATATTAACAATATCTCTATTACTTATTTATCAATCTATTTTATGTAAGGGGAAATATGTAAAATTTCAATTGCAAGACACCATGGATGAGGTTTAGATGACATAAGAAGACTTGAAAAGTGCCCTTCCAACAGAGTAGAGAAAAAAGGAAAATAATGATATGGCGTTTAAAAAAAGAAAATAATGATATGGTGTTTTACTTATTTTTCTTTGGGGGGTGTATTGTGAGGAACTGAAAAAAAGAATGGAATTCTGGTAGTTCTGTGAGATGATTATGACAAGTATGAAATGATAATGAGAGAGGTTGTAAAATTGATTGGTAGATGAGGTATTTATGAATGAATGACAACTCCCTGAAAGAAGGGATAAAGATGGAAAATATTAAAGTGCAGAGGTTTAAAAAGAATGATAAAAGACATACTGGGGAAGCATTCATTATGTATATCTTATGAAGCAAGGTAGATGGCAGTTGAATTTATATGCAAAATGAAAAGATTTAGAATGAAGAGGGTGCATAAAAATATAGGAACATATTGCAATTATACAAATTAAAATTTTCATTTAATCTAAAAAAAATATATGCTGCAATAGACAACACAATTAGTTTATGAGCTTTATCAACATGCAGATTAGGGGCTTCTATCAACACAACATGCAACACAAAATACCAAATTTTACAGATAAAATGCATATACCAAGCTCAAAGCAAAAGCATACATTAAATCAGACAATGACACAGAAATAAATAATACTTATACTTACTTTGGATGCAAACAATTATAAACTTGTAATAGTACATTAATACATATAAGCTTACCACCAATTTTCTGACAACCTCTGTCCCCCCAAAAAATCTAGATTATATGTTTTGCTGGACCATCAGAGGTTATGTAGTGGTAAGTTCCAGCATTTCTACAGTATCAGCAGTAATCAGAAAATCAGTAGTGTATATCTATGGCCTTACTGTTTTTATCACACAAATTTCACAAGAGAACTCCAGGATAAGTGTCAAATAAGATTTCACCGCAAACTATAAAAATGTACTATAGAACTAAAACAAAATGCTATAAAAGTATAGAAAATAAGATGTACTGTGTAGTTATTCCTGATGAAAGCACAAGTTATATATGAATATATTAGTCTTCACTACTACAGAAGTCACATATTTAAAAAAAGTTACTCTAAAGGAAACTCAATAAATGTACATTTCAGGGCACTTCAAAATAAGAAAATGAAAACTGAAGAGTCACCCTTTTGAAGTTCATACTCTTACTAACATAGATCCCATTGCTGATTTGGCATCTAGATGTCTTTCTTTTCTTTTTCTTTTATTTACAAATTTGGCTTAGTATGTAAGGAATGGCAGGGCAGATTAAAGATACATTTGGTTGGGTAAAGAAAGGAAGGGAAGGGAAGGGAAGGGAAGGGAAGGGAAGGGAAGGGAAGGGAAGGGAAGGGAAGGAAGGAAGGGAAGGGGGAAGGAGGGAAGGGAAGGGAAGGAAGGGAAGGGAAGGGAAGGGAAGGGAAGGGAAGGGAAGGGAAGGGAAGGGAAGGAAGGGAAGGGAAGGGAAGGGAAGGGAAGGGAAGGGAAGGGAAGGAAGGGAAGGGAAGGGAAGGGAAGGAAGGGAAGGAAGGGAAGGGAAGAAGAAGAGAAGAAAGAAAGAAGAAGAAAGAAGAGAAGAGAAGAGAGAGAGAAAGAGAGAAGAGAAGAGAAGAGAAGAGAAGAGAAGAGAAGAGAAGAGAAGAGAGAGAAGAGAAGAGAAGAGGAGAGGAGAGGAGAGGAGAGGAGAGGAGAGAGAGGAGAGGAGAGAGAGGACGGGAAGGGAAGGGAAGGGAAGGGGAAGGGAAGGGAAAGGGGAAGGGAAGGGAAGGGAAAGGGAAGGAAAGGGAAGGGAAAGGAAGGAAGGGAAGGAAGGGAAGGGAAGGGAAGGGAAGGAAAGGGAAGGGAAGGGAAGGAAGGGAAGGGAAGGGAAGGGAAGGGAAGGAAGGGAAGGGAAGGAAAGGAAGGGACAGGACAGGGAAGGGAAAGGCATGAGACGGATGCTGAAAGTAGAATGGTTAAGAGTATAATTATGTTAGTAGATTAAAGGAAGATATGTTGTTAGTCTACTATTACCTAATCAGACTACAGGTGATTTTGGACTTGGTAGTGGGGACCAGTGATATGTATCTGCCTTGCACCATCAGACAAAATGGGCAACACACACAGATGGTCATTATTAGATTGATGTCACATCAGCAATGAAAAAATATATTAGTGATCATAATTCTTCACAAAGGTAATTAAAAAATAATCTGGATTCCAGGAATAGTTCACAAAAAAAAATGTAAAATGCACTTGCTCTTTTTATGAAAATTAATCTGCAGCATTTTCTTTTTTCCTTCACAAAAGTTCTTCTAATCCTGAAAAAATAATTCATATAACATGGCTTTCAAATTTTACAAAATAATGATTATTTTTAAATAATTCAAGGATCTAAACAGTTGCACTATCAGCATCTCTACAATAAAAGAAGCAGCTTCTCAAATTATTTGGAAAAACATTTTGTGACAAGTAATTTATCTTGGCAAGTTACAGCAAGTGGTTCTGTGTACCATAAAATACGTTGGAAAGTATATCAGCAAGAATACAGTTTCAGCATGAACCTAGAGAAACTTTCAGGGCCATGTTTACCTTTTCCTCCTGGTGGATTAACAAGTCTTTCAAGGCGTCAAAAATAATAAATTAAATTATCATACTGATCTGCTGCATATTTGGTGAAGATAGGTTCATGTTTCTCATATATGTTCCTTGTATTAGTTAGTTATTTATCAGTCAAATTCCTTTTGAAAAATAAGAACCAAAAATAGAGATACCAATAAAGTCAGTAATTAATACAAGATCAAAATGGACATTAGTTAATCTAAAAAAATAAGTTGAACACACAAACAACACAATCAAAGCAATACTACAATATTAATATAAAGCCATGCAACAGCAGTCAAGCAGTTGTAAAAGTTACAAGTGCACAGAATATGGTATCGATGAACTATTGCATCAGACTCCGCTATCTTGTACATCCTATGAACAATATTTTACAACATTAAACTGCACTAATAGCGTGATAACTTCAAAATGGATGGCTATATTTAAATTTTTTCTACAACAACAACAAAAAATTTACTACATTTTTCACATCTATTAGTGCAGCTGTAACTTGACAGAAGCAGCCACCACTTTAGGGTTCCCACTTGTCTCCATCACAAATGCTGTCGTCATGATCAAACCCTAAATTTCACTTGGGGGTTTTGGTGTCAAAACTGGTTTGCAACTGGCCATGTTA